CGACTGCACCCTGCGTGACGGGAGATGTCTCCCGTGACCTTATCCTGACCCCTTCCAACTGCTATATACTGTAGTCGTAATGGTTTGGCACTCCCCTCCCCCTCCCCCCTGATACTTCTCTTCCCACTCCCATACATATGTATCCCCCCAGCAGCAGTAAAAAAAAAAAAAAGATATAGGTTATTTTACAAATAATTCCGGCCTGGTGCAGCTGCAGGAAATGTCTCCTGATAAAAAGTAAACTTGTTCGCTGTTAGGGAGCTGGAGGGTTACCCAATCTGTGTTGGGAGTGTGTGTGTTTTCCCAACCCTGCTTGCTTCAGTGTTGTTTGTATGGTATAACGCACATGAATCGGCTAATCTGCATTTTGTGTAAATCCTGTCATTTTTCTTGATTCTTGTTACTACAGTATTTTTCTCTCATGTCTTCTAGCTTTGGCATATTTAACGTCTAGCCTCTGCTCATAGAATTTTTTTTTCAGTTCCAGAAGCCATTTAGTAGGATGTCATTGTACCATGCCTCATTTATTGATGTGCTTCTTGAGATAAGTTCATTTCATTTATTTATTTATTATGCACCACATACCCATTCCATGGGCAGTGATGGAAAGGGTTAAAAAGTCATAATGGGTTCAGAAATTGAACCCCATAGTTAATTTAGCTAAGCAAGTTACAATCTTGTGAAGCTAGTTACACAGTTGTTAATACATACTACATATACACATGTTGTATATGCATACATATATACACATACTGTACATTATTTATACATATACAGTACAGTACTGTACTGTATATGTATAAATAGTCTTTTTATTCATTTTTAGACTCCATTAGTCTTTTTATATCACAAATGATTCAAGAAGAGGCCCACAACAGTTTATTAAGGCAGTTTACGTCAGTGGTGAGTCTGTTACTAACCTTGCTAATTCGCACCCTATATTAACCAATCATGATCCCACACCCACCCATCTGGGCAACAACTTTACAGTCATGTGCATGCATTACCTACAGTAAGCAAATTTTGGATACAATTTTGCTAGGATAAGATTCCTGGCAGTACATCATTATGAATGAAGTTTTTACACATTTCTTGGACACCATTGGTGGAGGTGTCTCTGAATTTCAAATTTTTTTCACATTACATTATATAATGATGCAAAGTATGCGAATAGTTCTGCTGACAGAGTTTTCAGTTAGTCGGATCTACATTTGCAGATGAGGCAAACTCCCAGAGATACTTGTAGCCGAGCCTAAGCCTAGCGGTAGTAATATCTAGAAGTCTGCTAACCTTATTCGATGATCCATAGACGTGCATTTCTTCCTGTATAATAGAATGATGGTAGATAGAGGAACTGGTGTCATTTCACTTTACCTCATGTCTACTAGATTTTGTTGCTGTTCCTGGAATATTACTGCCCTCAGGCTGGTCAAAGGCAGTCCAAGATGGTAGTCAATTCCCTCTTTACGAGCAGAAGTTTTGGTGAACTCACAACTCGGCAGCCATATTCGGAAACCAATATGGGAAGGAATCCACAGGAGACAAACTCGCTCTCATTGATTATTTCATTATACAGTATCATACAATCATTGTATATTGTATTCCAATTTTGGTCTCACAAAAGTCGTAAACAGTTTCTCAAATATTTCACCATCCATGTACATTATTTGAGTCTTTGTACTCGCCTATTTCTGCCTGCAGGATAGAGCTCAAGCTCTTGTACAACGTTTTTCAAGATACTGATTACTGCAATGACTCCTTAACTATTTCCCTATCATACCTGCTTTTAAAGTTGTGAATTGAGTTTGCCTCTGCAACCAGCTCCTTTAGGTTATTCCATTTACTCCCTACCCTTAAGCCAAGAGAGAACTGTCTAACATCTCTGACACATCCGAGTCTCGAGCTTCCATCTGTGCCCTCTTGTTTTATCGGTATTCATTGTAAATATTTGCTCTTTTTCCACCCTGTCATTCCCACCTAAGTATTTTATACATCTGTCCCATGCACCGTCTCCCTACTTTCTAACGTTGTCAGGTTTAGTTCTTTTAGTTTCTATTCATACCTCATCCCTCACAACTCTGGGACAAGTCTCGTTACAAACTTCTGCCCCCTTTCAAGCGTCCTGATGTGTGCTTTTAGGTTGGGCTCCACAATGGTGTGGCATACTCTAAAACTAGCCTCATGTAAATGGTAATACAGTGATTTAACAGCCTTCTTATTTAAGTTCCTGAAGGATGTTCTGACTTGCTAGCATAGAGTATGCAGCTGACAGTACTGTATTCTATTTACATGAGCCTCTGGAATTAGGTTTGGTGTTGCATCCACTCCCAGATTTTTTTTTATCTTGTTATAGGAAGATAGTTTCCCTTCATCAAGTACTTGCCTCTCTGTTTCCTGGCTCCTGATTCTATTTCCATCACGTGTTCAGTTCTGCCTTAGCCGATATGATTTGTATAAATTGGCTACAAACCTAGTGTCTAAATCTAAAATCTAAATGACTAAGTATTCTTCTAGGCCTGACATTTTTTGAAAATTTCTGAATACAGTACAGTTGTGCTGCAGTTGCTACTGCTGTACTGTACTATGGTTATGGTGCTATTGTGACAACTACTATTAGCTCTGGGAAACCTGTACGCATGTTGATTAAGAGTCGAGGCAGAATGCGAGTTGTGGCTTATCAAGTACAACAACTAGATGGGTACAGTTGCACTGCAGGGTGAACTGGCCTAGTTAATGTATTAACATTTCTCTGTCAAATAAGCTGGTGAATTACATTTGCAATACCAGTACAGTACTTGGTAATTACCCTGCATGTCTTTGCTGTGATAATTTTTAACATGGGCACTCGTCTCCTGGTACTGTATTCCCATAATGTTCTTGCTACGTTGTCAAAGCATTCTTAATAATTTTGACTTGTCTGAACAGTAGGCATCCTTCAGTCTCTGGAGACTATGGAGTTGCGCTCTGGTTTCCAGGGCACAAAGCCTAGGTAGGTCAATATGGAGGAGAAGCTGTTACCCATGCAGCAGGTCCCCCACCCCGCTCCACGTTGCTGAAATTATCCAATAGAAAGGCGACGTCAATACACATGGTTCCAGTACCCTTGTCTGAATAAGGGTACCAGTAACATAGGATCTTTTTTCCAATATTTAGGCAGTTTGATATATTTACCTTTGTGTAATATACTAAATTATATAGGAATTTATATTTCTGGTGACCCGAGTTTCAACTGAGCTCTTTATGATTACATTATAATTGGGACTGATAATGTTGTGACATTTTTGTTCAGCTTTTAGTTTGGATGCTGAGTTTAAATATTTAAAGCATATTATAATTTTCTATTATCTATACAGTATGATGTTGCAAAGAGCGCTGTGCTCATATTGTCCCATTTTCCTGGTCCATTGTATCCTAATTTTAAAACTTCAGGGCAGTTATCTTCTTGAGGTCATCTTGAGGTGATCTTGGGGCTTAGCGTCCCTACAGTCCGGTACTCGACCAGGCCAACTTTTTGTTACACACCCCCAGGAAGCAGCCCGTAGCAGCTGTCTAACTCCCAGATACCTATTTATTGCCAGGTGAACAGGTGCATGAAGGTGAAAGAAATGCTGCCCATTTGTTTCGGCCTCCACCTGGGATCGAACCCAGATCCTTAGGACTACAAATCCCAAGCGCTGTCCATTCAGCTGTCAGGCCCCTGGTGGTAAAGGAAAAATTAAGCAATGATGAGTTTCTTGTGAAACATAAAGGAACAAAACAATCTGTCTTCAGTGCTGGCATGGAGGATGTGGGAATAACCTTTTAATACGTACAGTACATTACGTCAATAACAACATTATGTTGGGTACTGTGTTTACTAAGCAATCCTTGCACTAGATGTAGATATAATAATACAAGCATATTTGCAGTAAAGGAGAATTTTGTTAAATACAGTACAGTACAGGTATATGAAATATTATTAAGACATGTAAAAAATACTGAAAATAGACTACATACCCTTTTAAACCAAAACTCAACGAAAGGTACAAATTAAAATACTGTACTACACATATACCAGTACTGTACCAGTATTGTATTACTGTATACACATACAATGTGCTTGCTTTTGTCTAACTTAAACAATGAACCCTGTCCCAATCCTAAGTACTACTTGAATTATGTTGTATGGCTTAAAGTACTGTACTATTTATATGCGATAGCCTGGACAAACAAAAATGTTATATTTCATGATTTGTCAAGAGTATCAGTTACATTTTATGCACTCAAAGGGGTACATGTACAATATGCAGGCGATGAGTCACAATAACGTGGCTAAAGTAAGTTGACCAGACCACACACTAGAAGGTGAAGGGACGGCGACGTTTCGGTCCGTCCTGGACTTGACCAAAGTCCTTGACTGACTTGACGTTTGTCCTGGACCATTCTCAAGTTGATGGACGTCAAGTCCAGTCAAGGACTTTGGTCAAGTCCAGGACGGACTGAAACGTCATCGTCCCTTCACCTTCTAGTGTGTGGTCTGGTCAACTTACATGTACAATAGTTTGGGACCCCAGATTGGACAGTATCACTCAACACTTGTCCTTCTAAATCTGTATCATTTGATTGCAGGAGGAAAGCCGTTTTTTTTTTTTTTTTTTTACTCTTATGTTTTGTATGTTGCCTGTTAATGGAAAAATTTCAGTTAGTTGCTTTGCTATCTGAATTAAGTTGTAGTGTGGTGTAGCAGTTCATGCAACACGTACTGTAAAAAGCAAATTTGACAGGGTCTATAGTATTGAATTGTTAAATACATAATGAGTTGCTGTTTAGCCTTGGTACTAAAATTCCAGAGACATACAGTGCCGTGCATGGACAAAATGTAGGCCTATGGAGACCATATGGTGGCTGAAGGGCTCGGTGAAAACTGTAGCAATTAGTCGTTTCTTAGTTTTAGAAATGATAAATGTTACTAAATAAATATTATTTGTGACTTAGATTTTAAAGAATATATTTATTTTCAGATTGTTCGAGGCCGAGGAGCAAGATCTCTTCTCAGACTTACAATCTTTGCCCCGTAATGCAGCACTACGGAAACTGAATGATCTCATCAAACGTGCCAGACTTGCCAAGGTAAGACAAACAGTAATAAAAACACAGGTTTCTTGATTCATTAAATCTTTGTAAATTCAGTTTGAACTGTTTGTTATTAAAATACTGTTAAGTAATACTGTACTGTATTAATTTTCATATTAATTTTCCTATGGGATCCCTTTACCTTCACAATGAGCAGCTGTCCTGGCACCAATTTCTTTTCATCCTACCCAAGCCGGTAGGCCGAGCAGACAGCACACTGGACTTGTGATCCTGTGGTCCCGGGTTCGATCCCGGGCGCCGTCGAGAAACAATGGGCAGAGTGTCTTTCACCCTATGCCCCTGTTACCTAGCAGTAAAATAGGTACCGGGTGTTAGTCAGCTGTCACAGGCTGCTTCCTGGGGGTGGAGGCCTGGTCGAGGACCGGGCCGCGGGGACACTAAAGCCCTGAAATCATCTCAAGATAACCTCAAGAAACCTCTCCAATGCTGTGTAGTTAAATCACATTTCATCCTTATTTACAGTACTACCTTTTCAGAAACAAAATGTGTAATTTTAACTTTGAGCATAACAGCTTGGGTATATGGTATACAGTGTGGTATAATAGGCAAGATGATTGTGGTTACACAGAGCTGCCTCGAGTTGTCAGAGAAATGGACGAACACTAATTAAACTATTCATTACAGAACTATACGTATTTTGTTTTAATGTTTATATTTATTTACATACATGCACTAACATTAGAAGCTGTTTAGCTACTCTTCAGTACTAATAGTTACAATATAAACCCTTAGTTTTGTGAATAGTGTGAGGTAAAAATTAGCTTTTTATCATATTAGCTATTTTATAATGACTGGGAGGGGTGGTATTTTCGTTTGAAAGAATGTTCATAACAATGTATTGTGAGATAGGCAGGCGATGAGTCACAATAATGTGGCTGAAGTAGTTTGACCAGACCACACAGTAGAAGGCGAAGGGACGACGACGTTTCGGTCTGTCCTGGACCATTCTCGAGTACTAGTAGATTGTCGACTTAAGAATGGTCCAGGACGGACCGAAAGGTTGTCGTCCCTTCACCTTCTACTGTGTGGTCTGGTCAAACATATTGTGAGATAGGTCTGGGTATAAGAACAGGGGTACAGTACCATTCGTTGAACCGCTTTAGTTTTAATATTTATATAGAAGACTTGCCTTTTTAAATTTGTCTTTGGTGGTATTGACTACTTGATAGTGGTTGTAGTCTGTCTTCTGTCCATTTGTTGCCATGAAATAGGCTGCATGAGACACTTTTATTCAATGGTAGGTATTTTCCATGGCAACTCATGAACTTGCTGGTTTGATATTTTCTTAACCTTGATTTGTTGCCTTAATAAATGCTCACTGTTCCAATTACTTGTAGAGTATTTAAATTGTATTTGCAGTTATATTTTTACTTTGCAGGTTCATGCATATATCATCTCAGAATTGAAGAAAGAAATGCCATCTATGTTTGGCAGAGAAAATAAAAAGAAGGAACTAATCAAGAACTTGGGTACGATCTATGACAAGATTCAACGAGAACACCAGATCTCTCCTGGAGACTTCCCAGAAATTAAGAGAATGCAGGTCTGTCTGAGGTCCAACTTAGTTTTCTAGAATTAAGTTTGTGAATGCATTTCACTGGTGTTGTAATATAAGGGTACATTGTTACATTGTGTGCTACATAACACGCAATGTAACATTGCGTGCTACATTGCTTAGTGTGAACACCCACACTTGCATGGGAACACCCACTGCATAGGTTTGAACCCTTATCATGGCTCCTGCGGATTTTCTCATTGATGCAGTCACGTTAGTGTGATTACTCTGTGTATTGCTAAGTGTTTTAATAGAAATACTTTCTCTGTTAAATGAACAAATCCACAAGGGCCGGGACGAGGGTTCGAACCTACGTCCGAGAGGATCCCAGACGCTGCCTTATTTTCTGTTATTTAGTTTCATTAATATATGGTACAGTACTACACTGTGTGTGTGTGTGTGGTATATTGTGTATAGTATTATACACAGTATAATAGTAATATTACAATGTGTATAATACTATACTGCAGTATTATATAGAATAATAATCTACAGTATTATACACAATACTGTATAATACTGTAGATGGAGTTTTTGTGTGTGGAGCATTGGAAAATACAGTTTCTAATTTTTTTTAAGTTCAGGGCATACTCGACATGATGACCAGACCACACACTAGAAGGTGAAGGGACGACGACGTTTCGGTCCGTCCTGGACCATTCTCAAGTCAATTGAGAATGGTCCAGGACGGACCGAAACGTCGTCGTCCCTTCACCTTCTAATGTGTGGTCTGGTCAACATACTTTAGTCACGTTATTGTGACTCATCGCCTGCATAGTCAACATGTTATGAATACACCAGCATGCACAGACCAGCGACATAAATTGTGTCAATGTTTTACTGATGCAGCAGTGTCAGGAATAACAGGGAATGTATAAAGAGTGGGTCTTAAATAGTGCCAAGCAATGGTCTACTAATGGGACAAAGCAATATATTTGACAAACAACAAATTTTGCTTAACAGGCTTTTTAACATCTAAGTGTCGAGCCAGGGGTTTGGCTTATATGAAGGACCTTCGTTCTGATTAAGCTATTTGGAAATTGAAGTAAATTCTATACTTTTATGCCGAATGATCTTATAACAGACGATGAGACAATAACGTGGCTGAAGATATGATGACTACACCACACACCAGAAGATGAGACGACGACGATGTTTTGGTCTGTCCTAGACGATTATCGACTTCATACTGGTCCAGGACAGACCGAAACGTTATCATCTCCTCGTCTTCTGGTGTGTGGTATAGTCATCGGATCTTATAGCAGTACTTGTTGGGTTATTGTAGCAACCTGTAGCAGTACTTGCTGCAGATACAGTAAATATTATCTGAATGGCTTTATTATTGTTTAAGGAATGCTTTACTTTGCTTGCATTTTCTATCAGTAATACAAAGAGTTTATTCATGATTCACTCTCTGGTGCCAAGGGTCGTGCTGTGAGAGCACTCATACCCACAGGGCATTTTATTCCCATGTACAAGCTCAGTGTGATCTCCTCGCTACCTATCGCATTCCTTCTCTAAATACATACTAAATTGTGGTGGAAAATGGGTGACTAAAACCACCCAATACTGTAGCCTATTATTCCTGAACAAACTATGTAAACAAAAGTTTATTCAATTTAGTTTACGTTTGTACTTGTAATTTTTTTTCTTGGGCACAATAATGATAGGTGATATGTTACGACTTTTTGTGATGTGATGATAATGTAATAAAAAAACCAAGTTGTGCTGTAGTATAAGGCAGAAAAATTGAAATAAGCCAACAGTTGATCAAATTGTCTTTATACAACAGTGAAACAAATATGTTTTCTTTGAGAAAGTTTCAGCAAATGTGACACTATCTATTTTTCCTTAGGAACAACTTCAGCATCACGATTTCACCAAGTTTAATGTTATGAAGCCCCGACTATTGGAAGCTGTGGACAGAATGCTAGCGGAGGACATAGCTCGTTTGATGGCCATGATTCCAGTCGAGGAGGCTGCCTCAAACAAGGAAAATACTGTCATCCGTGGTAAGTGCAATTTGATTGGTGTTAGCTTGGATGGCTGGTACATTCCGTACACTATCATGACAACAGTACAAAAGTTTTTAGAATGAAGTACAGTATTTAAAAGTAAACACTTGATCAGCTTTTTTAAAGTGACCTGTATACTCTGCTTTTGATTTGCACATTCATCCATTTTTATTATTCAGTCTGTTGTTGATTATATGATTTAATGCATCTTTATTACCCCATTTCCCATTACTATGAATTGAAGAGGTCCTTGCCTGCAAAATAGATTTGATAGGAAGGATGGATGAAGGTCTTCTGAGGGAAATAAAGATTTTTAGAGTGCAGGTATATAATTTCCATGTGAAAATTTGACCGCAATACACACTAGTATTTATCCACTGATGTACTGTAAGGAGTGAAGCATACTAATAGATGGAAGGGAATATTTATAGGGTGCTAACTGTATGGACACAAAATAGAACACAAAAAAACAGATACAAATTGGGCAAATTTATATTCAGAATAGACCTGGGTAAATACTGATTATAGAATACAAATCTTGATTTATGTTTTACTTTGGCTGGAATTATAAAAGGCGTGGGATTGCTCTGTTTCAAATGTAATGTGTGTGTGTGTGTGTGTATACAAGGGAGTTTTTGTGGTTGGGTATAAATAGGAGTTGCCTTCCATGGGCAAATGGAAGCTTCCTTCAGCTTCCTTTATTCTTATTTGCTAAGGATAAATAACATTGTAATTTTATATGCTTTATCCTGTTCATTGTAACTTGTCGGAGAGTAACTTGTCGGAGAGTAACTTGTCGGAGATTGTTCACCTGCACACCCAGGTTGTCTCGCACTTGCCATCTCTGCCCATCATCTTGACCTTTTTCTCCCATCCTTAAATTTACTTAATTATTCTTTATTCACCACTTTCATTCTCCAATTATTTAACAACTTTTCATCACCACCCCCCACCATTTTTCTTCAGTCATTGGTTTTCACACTCGACATGCTTCTACAAGAGTTGTTCGATATACCCTTAATCCTTAAACAACGGTTATCACCAAATGTTGATTCATAGGGGTATCGTCATATGACAATATAAACTATTTCTGTCTGGGTTTTACATGTATGATGCAAATAAGGATATAATAGCTCTCTGTGAATATAATGGAGTTTACCTTGACCTATGAAAAAATCCTGCTATCATGTCATGGTTACATTACTATGTGAATGCAGTTATTATGAATGTTACTAGGTGAATGCTGTCATTGTATAAAATTCAATCATAATTACATGCTATGTATACTATTGTATACATGCTATGTATACAATGTTCATGTGGTTTTCATAACTCTGTATGGTTGTAACTAGGTATACCAGGTAAATCGATCGTCAATTGAATCATTATCATGCGTCTTGTACTAGGAGTCTGCCGTGGGGGGCACATTAGTGGCTTAGCCCTTTGTTCCAATCTATATTCTCGCCCATGTGGTGCCAATTAGGCCACATGTCATTGCCCAGAGCCCAACACCATTGTATATTGTGTTTATATGCTTTTCACTACTCTATATGGTTGTAAGGAAGTATACCAGCTAAACCAATCATCAATTGAACTATTATCACATGGAATCTGAATTGTTATTTATCAAGTTTATTCAACACACACACACATACTCTTGTAAATAAAGAGAAGCAAGTGATAAATAGTCTGGGAAACATCCGAGGAGAACACAAGAGTGGTCTGGCATACCTCGGTGTTGGCATAGTTTGGCATCATGTGTTGACAGATGCCAGAACCTTTAGCCACCGGGGCAACTTTTCAGACCTGCTCCACCCAGTAAAAAGATATTAAATTATTTTAGTCTTTCTCTTACATTTTGTATACAAATTAATAATTCTACAAAAAGGAAAAAATATTTTTTGAATTTTTTTATATTTTTGCGCATAGGCAGGAATGATTCTTATAGCTGCTGTTCAAGGGTTAAATGACAAATGCTTCTCAGATTACCTATATTGTTCTTAAATAAATTTTCTCATGCTCTTGCCACAAATATTGAGTCACCTTTGCACATTAATCTCGGCACTGTGCATAGTACCTTAACGTGCATACCCGGTAATGGGCATAGCACCTTAAGGCATTTTTAGATACAGTAAATGATTCAAAACTCATGTGGGTACACGGAACACATCATGTTCTTCAGGGGTCGGATTCACGAAGCAGTTACACAAGTACTTATGAACGTGTACATCTTTCATCAGTCTTTGATGGCTTTGGTTACATTTATTAAACAGTTTACAAGCATGAAAACTTTCCAATCAACTGTTGTTGTTATAAACAGACTCCTGGTGCTTCGGAGCTTGTTAACTGTTTAATAATTGTAAACAAAGCCGCCAAAGATTGAGAAAAGATGTACAGGGTCGTAAGTACTTGTGTAACTGCTTCGTGAATCTAGCCCCAGGACTCCAGTAAATAGACGCCATATTGTAAAAAATTGTCTGCATCCCTCCTGGCTGTGGGAGCCTCAGTACTGCCACAGCAACCAAAGCTGGTGCATGCACCTGCAGCTCTCAGCACAGTTGTGCAAGTCAAGGCTACAGCACCATTTAATAATGAATAAATAAATAGCTGTTGTTAAACTGTTGTTCCCTGCATGTGAATTAAACCCAGGACCCCCTGGTGTGTATCGAAGATGTAGACCAATGTGTACGATTAATATTTGAAACTTCAATCAATTGTGAATAATAATTGTCAATTTTTTTTTATTTATTGTAATTTTTACAATACAAATTTTCTGTATACTCAACTTTACAACTTTCATTTGACAGTCATATTTGAATGGTAGTTCTTTATTGTAGAATTTGAAATAGCATTTTCTGATGTGCTTTTGAGTGAATCGCTTGAACATGCATATTTCTTATTTTTTGTTTGTTTAGCTTACTTGACTGAAGGCAAAGAAAGCTTATGCATTAACCATGGGTCCCTCTCCACATTATTATGGGACATCTGATATGCTGGGCCCAATGTCAGTCACGTATGGAATGGACGATCCTTATGACAGGTTGTATAAAGCTGTTTCAGTGACTTCCGTGGCACCTGTTTTATTTTCTCCATAACTGATTGCAGCACATCTTATTTCATTTTATTTTAAAACTTTCCATCGCCACTGAAACAATTATTGTAATGCAAAAATTTGCATAAATCAAGATTCAAGGGAAATTGTAGAATAAAAGGTTGTGACACGAATCAATAGGCCAAAGTTACATGTTTGGAAATAGTCTACAGCCATGTTCGAATTTGCAGTTGTTTGCATTTATTAATATGTATTGAAAATTGTTGATATAAACTACCTCTTATCAATTAAGAACTGTTATTTGCAGGTGTACTTTTATAATGCAAAGTGCAAGTGTGTGTGTGTGTGTGTTGGGGGGGGGGGAGGGACATTAAATATTGCAGAGAAAAGAAATAGCTATAAATGATTCGTATAGAAATTCTATCTGAACCACACATCAGAAAATGAGAAACGATGATGTTTAGGTCTGTCCTGGACTATTATCATCATATCTTCAGCCACGTTATTACGACACATCGTCTACATTTATATAGAAATACCAAGTTGAACATTTACTTTATTGGAGATGAATGATATTTTGCCTGTAGAGGTCGTGTCAAGTTCACTGGAGAAATATGGCTAGCTGATCGCATGCAAAACAGTATTTGGTAAAGCTTATTCTCATCCTTGTCTTTCTATACATTTTTAGCAGTTTCTTCTGTTCAATTCTATCACCTGATCTAGCAGAAGTAACGTTATGAAGTATAGTGACGAGAGTCGAGATTGAATCACTGTTCAAGAGCATGGGTGAATGTCAGTGCAGTAATTACAGAAGCACAACTGTTGTGGGTATAGTGAATTGTGTACGTGAGGGTAGTTGCTGAAGGGATGTGAATCACGACTATTACTGGAGGAAGTAGCATTGTGTACTAAATGGAATCAAGGTTTTTATGGAGACAACATACAAGAAAGGCCATAATGAAGACTAGTATAAGGTAATTGTACAGTATATCTTTACAAAGCAATTAATAAAGAGAATCACAAGGAATTTAAATTGGGTCATTTTAAGTGTAGTGAACTTTTCATGAAGGAATCAATGTTGATATAAGAGCGAGTCGTTTACTGTGTGTGACTCGTTTGACATAAATATTGCAGAATGGTTGAAAAGAAAGCTAAAGTATTGACATTAATGAAGGCAAATAACTTTTACCATCTATAGTCTACTCTAGACTAATGTTCTGTACATATATGTAGAAGTTAATCAGTGGCTGATGCAATGAAAACTGTAGTAAAGAGGACAATAGGAAGTGCTGAAGCCAGAAGGTGTGGCACAAGTTTAAACACTTGGAAGTTAGAGCGGTAGAGATGGTCTTATTTGCATAAATGGTACCGAGAGGGTAAATTAAATTGTGAATTATATTAAATATGAAAATCCACGACCTTAAGATTGAAAGAATATTTTTATATTGACTTTGCATGCAGAGTAGTTATGAGGGAATGAACGGAGGCCGATAGCGAGACCAATAGTGAGGCATATGAAACAAGTTGAATTGTGGTATGTGCTTGTTGATAGCATTAGATTTGCATGGACATTGAACTAGTGTGAATGCAGTGTGTTATAAGAGAATGAATGATTATCAGTTTATTCTTGATAAGTAACTTATTTTTGTGCAAAAGTCTTATGGAGTATGTGAAATATTTGTGTGTGTGTGGTTTTTGTCTTTGGTAGTGGTGGTGGTGGTGGTACTGTGGCATATGACACCACAAGTCTAGTGAAATTTTGTATATCTTGTAACATTTTTCATGCAGACTTTTATTCTTTCCTGGCAGATACCTCCTTGCTCATTAAAGTTGAAGGGATAGTGATAATGAATTTTATTAATTTACAGTTTATAGATATACAAGATTTTAAACTTATGAATTAACACTTTCGCGCTCTCCGCAAAGGTCACTCGGCCAACCGAATGTGCGCACTGCGTTTTTATCGCTTAAGCGTAAAAACAAAAATGTGTATACTCTTTTTACTCTTCTGACCTTAGTTCTCATGCTACGTATTTCATTTTGGTACCAACGTGTTCGCAATAAAATTCTCTAGAAGAACATTAGTAAAATAAGTCACGAAACATATAGGGATACCAGCACCAAATAAATAACTACGTAGATGACTCGCCGTGAGCGCCCATCAGCAACAAAATGTTTTTACTCTTGGGATTGTAATCACCTCCACACTTGTTCTACAGCGTTAATTTTGGTATCAATGGACTCGCAATGAAATTCCCAACACGGTGATATGAATATAAGCGTAGAATAATGATGCAGCCCGCCCGCAAGAGTGTGGGAAGTGGTGAAATTGTTACCCGGTATCGGTGACGGGACGATGCTCGGCGCTTTGAAAGTTTATACTTATTTCACTCTCATGACATTAATTTTCTATGTACGTCATTCATTTTTATGTCAATGTGTTCGCAATAGAATGTTCTATGTGCCCATAGGTAAAAAATATCAACAAAGCGTAAGTTAGAATAGCGACAAATATAAAACAATGCTGGAACATATCAGTGAGCGTCAAACACACACGAAATATTTTTACTTTTGTTATGTTTGTCAAGATTATACTTGTTGCACACAGTTATTTTTGGTTGTATATTGATCGGAATAAAATTCCCTAAACAGACATATGCATATAATACATGATATGGGGGAAGAATTACCAGTATAAACGGCTAAAGTCACCCACCTGCAACCCGTTTGGGACAAAATACCATTTGATCAAAGTTATCCACACCTTTCATGAACTTATTGTACCATGCAGCCTAGTGGTGAGAAAGAGAGCCTCATAGCGCGCAGTTTGAAACAAACCCAAAGTAAATCGGATAAAAATTGAATTTTATACAAATATTTTAAAAGTAGACATAACTTTATGTCCACTATGCGTTTACGTTAGACGAAACCGAACGCGCCGGCGCGTCCAGATAGAGCGAAAGTGTTAAGAGGTTGCAAAGCCTATCGATCTCTTCAGCAACTTTAGACTTCACTTCAAGACCCAAACGTTTAAAATAAATTTGTATTTGAACGATGGTGCTAAGTTACTGACATAGGCATATGACAGCTTTTGCTTAATTGTATAGTGCAGCAAAACTGGATTTTGTGGATTGGAGAGTTTAGAACTTTCACCCCAGTGTTCTAGATTTCCAGCCCTGTCAGGACGATTTTACCGATTTTCCTACATCCCTCGTTAATAATAATAATAATAATAATAATAATAATATTATTATTATTATTTATTATTATTATTATTATTATTATTATTGAGCTGGCACTATACACCACTATTGCATATGCCCCCACAGCAATGAGCTGTATTGAGAGGAAAGTGTTACAAAGAGTAGATACACAAATCTGTTGCCACCAAAGTAGTTTTTGTTTGCAAATAATAATATGATTGGTAACATTTTGTTATCTTTAAACTTGTTTCTCCATCAGGTGGTGCTTTTGATGGTGTGATGAATGACAACACTGTCTTTGGGTTCAAGAGAGGTGAGGGAGCCGATGCAGGAGCAGGTGACCCTGATTGGATAGTTGCCAAAGACCGCTACAAGTATGACCAGCTTTTCGACAACCTTAACCCTGTTGATGGCAAGATTACTGGTTCAGGTAGGAAGTTTTGTTTGTGTAATTATGCTTTTTGCGATCTAAGCTCAAATATGTACAGTATTAATAGTATATACTTTTTTTTATGTATATGTATTCCAGAGTTGGTCATATTTTTTCTGAGTAAATCTTTGATTACACAGTATGCTGGTTTAATCTCCCCATCATATCAGGGATTTTCTCATAGATCACGTTATTGTGATTTCCTTATCTCAGATTTCATCATGAACACTTTTGTGGGTCATGAACATCGTTCGGGCCGCCATGCACCGCAAGGTAGCCCGAACGATGTTTATACTTTTTTTTTTTTTTCTTTTAGCTTTCATACCGTAATTTTCGTGCTACATCATTCAATTTGGTATCAAATTGTTCGCAATAGAATGCTCTAAATAAATATTTACATTTAAGAACAAATATAAGAGTGCTACCAATACCATAAGATAAAGTACATAATGGTAAAGAAGAGTGGCCGCCACACACACCTGATGGGCCGGGTGTTGCACTAGTAGCACTGCTGTCATCCTAATGTTCATCACCAGCATGTATGATGTCATTTTTGAGAGGCTAATCCTTATACTCAAAGTATACTAGTGACGAAATGACAACTTCGTGGAACTGGAGGAATGAGAGTTTCTTGGTATCGGTTGTGTAGTAATTGTATAACACAAAAGCATTATGTATATCCATGTATAGCCACAGAGAATGGGAAGATGTTGGCATGCATTAGTATGGTGGTCATATGATATGGACTCCTAGCTCCGTTCTAAACTGCCCTCCCTTTTCCAGTCCTCCATCATTGTCAAACCACCTCATATCATTATCACATCATGTGATGTACTGAATGTAATAACATCTAGCCCTGCAGTGGAAAGAAACGCATCACCATTATGAGGAGCAAATGTAAAGCTAGCAATATTTGCCAAATGTGAAAGAAATTGGGCAATCACCTCAACATTGTAATTTCTTTCATTGTCTAATGTATAGGGATAAAAGTAGAGAATGAATCAGTGCAGATAGGCATTCATAACATATACAATACTAGTCTATGAAATTGTTAGATATCTGAACTCCAGGAAATATGTTAATGAGAAGTGAGCTATTGAAAAGCTACCTTGCTTGTCTACAGATTAAGCAACAGCACTCGTAAAACTCCGCCTATACAAGATAATCTTCAGACCAGGGCTGGGATTCCCTTGCACCTCTCTGGACGTAACAGATCTAATCAGCTGAAAAGAGGTTCAGAACAAGGCACTATCTTGCAGCAAATATCTCCATAAGTATCAGATTTACAATAGACCAGCTTCACATGTCCCATGAACATAAGAATTAGATCCTTCTCCAGATGCTGACTTATAAAATGAAGGCACTATACCATTTCTTACACAGGAGACTCCTAGGAATTACCAATACAACGAACATCTTCAGAATTTAGATGCAGCCTCTCGCAAAACCAAAAGAATTACTCTCCAACAGAGTTATAAACATCTTCAACGGACTAAAATACTTTAATTTCGTGTGTCTGAGTTCAGTTATTTATTTTCAAACAAGTCATTGTGGCCTATTCTCTGCATGTGGGGTGTATCCACAGCCCCAGTGTCCCAAGGACACTGCCCTCTCTCTCCCCACTTTACCAAAACTTTGTCATAAAATTAAGATTTATCACATCTTATAGACTGCAGCTGTGTTTACCAGCAGCTACAGTATGCACCCCCAAAAAAAATATATATATAATTTTGACCTTTTTATGTATTTGTTCTTAATTAAAAAACTGGTTAAAGTTAGTTTGATATTGCAACTTGTACATCAAGATTGAAAATACCCCTGTAATTCTTATGTAGTCATGTCTTAAAATTGACTTTGTTTTTTAATCCATGATTTAATTATAACCCTGTTCCTTTTGTATTTCCAGCGGCTAAACAAGAGATGCTCAAGTCTAAGCTGCCCAATTCAGTACTGGGTAAGGTTTGGAAGATGTCTGACATTGACAAAGATGGCATGCTTGATGCAGACGAGTTTGCGCTGGCAATGCATCTCATCAACATCAAATTGGACGGCAACGACTTGCCCAATGATCTCCCTGAGCATCTTGTTCCTCCTAGCAAGAGAGGCTTCCAGGCATAGATGAGGCGAACACCAAAATCTTAACGAGTGCGTTACAATTCATTGTGGGGTGTGGAGGCGGTGACGACGATGATCAGATCACAGCTTTGATAAGGCTACACCTGTTGATATGGTGTATAGAGGGAATGTTAGTGTAAAAAAAAAATTAACTTTCATATTTAACTTTATATTTATGTATTGATTAACTGTAAGCGAGTAAAGCTAGAAATTGTATAGATTTATAATTTTTTTTAAATAAAAAATAGTTGGCAGATTAGCATTAAAGAATGTTGTTCCTTGCCATGTCTGCTACAGGTCAGGCAGTGGCTCAAGAATTTTATATGACAAATTAAAAACCAAAAAAAAAATATTTTAAATCGTTTATCAACATGGAAAAGTCTTTACTAATCATTCACAACATGATGCCGGACACGTGTGCACGTAACAACCGTTTGCCATTACGGAAAGAGTTTGTGGCATACATAATTGCCCCAACTAGGTCGTATGTTCTTCCTGACCAAGTTCTGTGTTGTGTTTTTTTGTTCTTACTCGTTGCCGGCTTTGGTGATTTGAGTGAGGTGCAACTGTGAGTCGCCCAGTGGATACAAAGCATCTAGACAGTACTTAGATGTTTTTGAGATGTTCAGTATTCAACAACAAAGAAAACATAAGATCTAGTCGACTATCTACTCCCACTTTTAAAGGCTTTATACCTTGAGATATTCACGTAAGGCAGTATTTCAACAATAGTCTTTGCTAAGTTCTTACTAGTTTGAATGATTCTTCTTGTTATAGATAGAACATTTTCATATAAATATTTTTTTTTTCTTCATTTAAACGTTGCATCTAGAACATTTTTACAGTTGGCTGTGGAGAACTTAGCAAGAGCTCTTGGTAAATAGTGTCTGTAGCATATAGCCGTCAGTAGGCTAATGTTCACGCAAGTGCCGCAATCTTTTTCCTACAAGCTATTCTGTCTAGATAATTTTTTTCATATGATTGACCCTTTATTGTATATCTTATTTATGATTTTAATTGGTTAAATAATTGAATACAAATATGATTGGCAAAGCTTTGATAAGGTGCTATTTCATAGGCAAAGCTTGGCTAGGCTAGCTACAAAATATTGCCACAGTTCAATATCAGGAGAATATGTCATTCCATCATTATTTGATAGTTTCAGTCTCCACACTGGAGCAAGTTGTGTTACTTTGGCTCTCACCGCAGTGGTTAATTCCCAGCCCACTAGCTGGGAAAGTATTTTAAGTGGAAAAGCAGAGCTGGCCCCCAGTTAGTTACTCAGCCATTTTACCGATATAGGTTCAGATCTACGACATTCAAGAAACATTTGTGTATCTAGCTTATAAAGTACTTTATATTTACATCTCTTTATATTCACAGGTGATTTCAGGTGAGTTTGTAAAATGAATTTTTTTTTTATTATATATTTTGCAGCCAGTAGTCGGGAGGCATTCTGTAACCTGAACGACGAGGGAAATAACCAGGTGGAGTATTAGTGGAGTTTGTGTGGTAGATGGTGCCGATGGTCTGCCAGTTTTGTTAGAGCAGGACTGGGAAATTTTGTTTCTGTTTGTTTTCCTTGAAGTTCTGCTATGTATTTCTTAATATGCTCAAGAAGTTTTTTATATTTAGGCCAATTCGACGTGATACTCCACTTCTGTTATTTCTTTGCAGGCTTCAGAAGTATTATTGTGTCCCTGTGTTAATTAAAAAGTTTATTTTAAAATTTGTAAATTTATTGTAAATAAGCATAATGTTACATACCCTCAGTTTTTACACAGCAAAGCAATTGGAAATGTCAGTCCCCCCAATATTGCCAACTCTTTCAGGAAACCAAAGAATTGATTCCTTACATGCCTGTAAAAACTGGTACATTCAGAGTATTTTATTGTTTATTTGTGTAAACCAGCTAAAGGAAAAAATGTATAACCTCTAAGTATATTACTTTATACATAAATTATGAGAATATCTTTTTGACTTTTCTTGCAAAATACCTAAGAGATGGCAGTTCTGTGAAGTATAATATGGAATGATGATATTCCACAGTGGGTAGCAACAAAATATTGCCACAGTTCAATATCAGGAGAATGTCATAGTGTGATAGTGGTAATTTTCGGTGTTTATTTCCAGAGTTTATTTTCAGAGGTTATATTAACACTAAACTAGAAGACATTTGTAGCTTGTAATACTGTATGCAAATGTGCTTATATGTTGCTAAAAGTAGGGAACTTGTTAATCTGTAGCTGATGATGCACACACTAGTGCTCATTAAGTAAGATGTTCACAGTTCCATATATCAACTCGCCCCACACTTCTCCAGTGATTTTATCTGGGTTGTGATCCAGAAGTATTATTACTAGAAGTATGCTGAAGTATTCAGGCGACGAGTCACAATAACGTGGCTAAAGTATGTTGACCAGACCACACACCAGAAGGTGAAGGGACGACGACGTTTCGGTCCGTCCTGGACCATTCTGAAGTCGATTGTGAAATAATGCTGAAGTATTATTACTAAAGTATGGCTTAACGTGACTGGTGCTACATAGCCTTCCCGGCTTGGTGCCTTCTTTGATAATTACTTAACGTGACTGATGTCGAAGGAACATTCTTAAGCCTGGTAACAGGAGTCTGGAATTGTCTATTCCTGTACCCCCTGTGTACAAAAAAATTATTTTTTTGAGATATATACAAGAGTTGTTACATTCTTGTACAGCCACTAGTACGCGTAGCGTTTCGGGCAGGTCCCTGGAATACGATCCCCTGCCGCGAAGAATCGTTTTTTCATCCAAGTACACATTTTTCTGTTGCGTTAAACAGAGGCTACAGTTAAGGAATTGCGCCCAGTAAATCCTCCCCGGCCAGGATACGAATGGAAAGTGGGGGACATAAAATGTAGAGAATAGCCTTTTTTTTATATAACAAGGTAGTTCTGGTTTCAGTTGTGTACAGATTCTGGTAATTGGGAGTGCTGTAAATGAAACTAAAGTACATATCTTGCATACTATACAATTTTGTTTAGGTGAACTAAATGAGATTAGACCCCATTTGGTTCGTCAAGAATTTCTTTTCCAAGCTTTTTTGCCATTATTTGGACGTGTTCATTTTTTCCATCATACACGCGATAGCACACATCTTTGAGCACATAGACATAGACAAATATTAAATAGATAAATAAATATTTTAAAAGTACTGTAAGGTAAAATAGATGAAGATAAATACAAAAATGGACAAAAAATATATTCAAAATTTTCTTTGGGATGACTTTAGCATTCCTTATTGTTGTGGTTACAGATGATGCTAGTCTTCATTGCCTGGTGCCAACTTTAGGTAATAGACTGATGCTGTCAGTTCTTGTTGATTCCTGTTAGTGAAGTCCACCCACTTGGGCTGGATGGTAGAGTGACGGTCTCGCGTTATGCAGGTCGGTGTTCAGTCCCTGACCGTCCAAGTGGTTGGGCACCATTTCTATCCTTGCCCTATTTAGTGCCCTCTGATTATCCAGCACATTTGATGGTGCTACATAACCTTCCTGGTTTGGTGCCTTCTTTTTGACAATTACTTACTCTCCCCGCCCTGTCCCACATCCTTATCCTGACCCCTTCCCAGTGCTATGAAGCACTTGGCGCTGTCTCCAGATAGTTCCCTACAACCCCCCCCACCCCATTTTTCACTCTTTGCTCATTCAGAATTATCCTGTTTGTTTATCTGAACTTGAGAGCCACCATCACTGTGATGGCCTCAACTGGTACAGGAAGTATGTTGCTTGTCAAAGGACTTCCCCATTATTCTTAAAAAAAATTCTAGATTTATCTTGAACCTAAGAGTATAGTGCCAGCTTGGAATTTATGGTTTCACTTCATAGATGATTCCACAGATTTATTACCTTTTGGTGAAAAAGCATCTGTCCTACATTGTGGCTTGTTGAGCTTAGAGTTGTTGCCCCTGTGTGAGTTACATTACCTTTCAATGTTTTCGAATTTGTTCAATATTTATTGGTTTTTATGAGATCAGCCTTGTTTAGCCTTCTTTGCAGAGTGCAGTAATTAATCTTGATGCTCTCAGCCATGAGACTTTTCTTAGTTCTGGAATGATTCTTGTCATTCTGGATTGAACCTTTTCTGACACAGTTAGGCCTATGTCTTTTTGAAGACGAGGATAATATTCAATATCCATGCTATTGCTAAAATTATGTACAGTAATACCATACAATCCTGTAAATTTTCATATTTGCTTGAATTTGCTAATACATGTGTATTTAAATGTGCAGCTTTTTCTGTGAAAAGTTATTAGTATAGTACAGTATTTGGTAGTCTGCATTACCCGTACAAAATATATGGAACATCTTTGCATCTCAGGTTAGCCACATGCTTTTCGTAAGTATAGTATGTATGTACTGTATTGTATAACCTTTTCATTATTATTCACTGTTCACATTACCCAGTTTTTCACTCGCTCATAAAAATCATCCTAAACGTTTTCTTGGTAAGACTAATTTTCTACACTTGGGTATTACTGAAAGTCTTTAAAGTGAATAAATAATTTATTAAAAGAAGTGCTACTGGATACCTTTACCACAATTAGAAAATTAGACTTTTAAACACCTTTCATTGAAGTTGTATGTGTATGAAATAGTGGTAGAAGCCTAAGAGGATACATAATTACGAAAATACTCGGAATCACATGAATATTCTTAGTAATGTTTTTCGGCATCTGGAAAGACTGTGAACTTGGTGTATTAGAGGTAATATTATTACTGCCGTTGTCTTCTGAGTTGCCTCTGATCCCATCTCCTTCACCTCCAGTATCATAATTTTCACCACTTTTGCGAAGGAGCTTGAAATGACGTATCCATCAGAAGCTAGTTGTGTCATTCGTCTTGTAGATGTGTGTTGAAGTTTACTGTTTTGTACCAAGGTCTGAAATTCTTGTGAGTGAAGAGGTGGCAGTTGTGTTGACCAGACCACACACTGGAAGGTGAAGGGACGACGATGTTTCGGTCCGTCCTGGACCATTCTCAAGTCGATTTGTGATGAGGGAAGGAGATGGTCCAAGCTTTCCTCCACCGTGTGGTTTGTCTTTTTACGTCTGGTTCCATATTCTGTGGTCCTTTACTTTCATGTCTCCTTGGGTCAGGGTTTATTCAGTTACTGTATAAAGAATGTCTTTCTCAATTATTTTGGTCCATGTTTCATTCAGATGATGAGTTGTCTGTCATGAATTTATTCATAGATTTTCTTCAACTCTCTGCATCTGCCAGTGTGTCCCTTGTTCTGCAATTAATTAAAAAATAATTATATATGAATATAGCATTTGTGTTGCTTAGTACTGTAAAGACAAATTTAATGTTTATAGTATTAGAAAATCCGAGTGAAACACTTAAGATCAGTGACACACAGGCCTTTGATAACCGACATGTGTTAATTTTATAAACGTATCCTTATTATTCTTGCCTATTATTATTTTTACAAATTACAGCATTTTTACTCATTACAGTATTTTACCTTTTTATTTTTTACCTGTTGTTATCCTTACCCATTCTTAGAATGCTGCTGCTGCTGCTTGTCTCATTAGATAAGCTGTACTATCCTGCGCTGAAACACAAAAAATATATAACTGCATTACAACATTCAAAATGCACAAATATTTTAAAAAGTTTTTAATATCATATGTAAATGTTTTAAATATATTTCTACACTTCTTACCTTCTGTCATACAGTAGAAATACTTTTGAATTTTATTATTTACACTGAAATCAATATTCAAAGACAAATATTTACTTGGACATTGAAGAAGAAAAAAAGGTTTAGGACAAGAGTTTCACGTTTAAATACTAATTTGGAAACTTCAGAATACATGGGAAGGATAAGGGACATACTGTTCCAGTTGTTCAGATATTTGTTATTGGTATAAAAATGCAGAACAATGTTAAGAGAAAAGTGTCTTCATGAGGCCGAGTCACTAGTAGTGTGTCTAAAGGATCAGTAATTGTGGTATTGTATCAGTGTACTGGGGTATTGTATCATTGCAACTAGGATAGTGTATAATTGCACCTGGGGTATTGTATCATTATACCTGAGGTATCATGTCGAGATTGTTGGTAAATGGAACATTCACGCTAGACATCATGTAGGCCCTTTCTTCCAATTCATAAAGTCTTTCTTCTCGTAGTCGCTCTTTTTCCTGGAGTTTGTACAGCAGTCTGAGGAATTCAAAATACAAGATGTTCACTGCAGGGTGTTGTTGAAAGGCAATCTCAAATTAAACACTACTCTAACTGTATGGTCTTAAGCTTGGGTACTCTGCCTATTCAGAAACTATGCATTTTACTTAATTTTCCTGACCTGTATGCTATAGGGGCATAATATTGTACTATACATTATCTACGATTAATGTGAATATGGGGAGGGGGAGTGGAGAAAAAAATGGGACACGGAGAGGCTGACCTAAACTAGAGTTTGCAAGCAACAAAGATAGTACATTGATGTACAATATAGTGAAAATAGTAACAGTAATATTATATAAAATAAAAGTACCTGAAAAAGCATACGGAGAGAATAACACAATTGTACATTGCTCAATATAAGGATGAAAATGGAAAATAATAAAATTACATAGAATTATGTTGTTGGTAACATAACAACAATTATGGTAACCTAACATAATTATTGTTGGTAATAAGTACAATACAGTAATTGAGAGAGAGAAGAAATAGGAAGGAATGAAATATAATACTGTAGATAAGAGCATAAAAATTAGGGAGTATTGCAGAAGTCTTGTTGGCTCATTCTGTCTAAATCCACCCTTTTTCCCTCCCCTTCCTCAAAATGCAACCCACAGCAGTCTCCTATCTCCCAGGTACTTTTCCTATTTACTACTAGGTGAACTGAGACATCAGGTGTATTTATGCAGTTGAAAAGGCTAACCTGTTTTGAGTGTCAGGAAATATAACACAAGGAAATTGTCAATATAACTGCAGTAAGTCACAGGGATATATGAAAGTCTGAGCTACAGTATTAAATCAATGGAATAATTTGGTTAGGTGATAGTGGAAGAAAACTAATTCCACTTACACTTTCAAGAACAGATATAAGGCATGAGGGTAACTGGCAGCATATGGCAAGCTAGCAATGCTTAGAATGTTATTTAGAAACCAAAATATGGATGGTTTTAAAGCAATATTAACTGCCTACGTTAGACTAATACTAAAATTTGCATCACCAGCCTGGAATCCATACCCTATGCAGCATAAAACATACAATTGAAAAAATTGAAAAGGGTTTTGCAACAAGATTAATGCTAAGAGGATTAGGCTACAAAAATTAGTTAAATGAGGGAAAACATTTCTGCTCTCAGCTCTTAGAGCATTAAAAACAGATATGATTACAACATACAAGATACTAAGGGGAATATATTAAAAAACTTGGACAAGAACAACCTCTTTAAATTTAGAAAGAATAGAACAAGTGAACATTAATGGGAACTGGAAATGCATACGAGTCAACGGCATTTAAGAAAATACTTGTACCCTGTATGGGTCATTGTCATGGCTCGGTGATTACATATCATAACTATGTAATATTATCTAACTTTAACCATCCAGGTTCACGTTTTCAGCCTGTGGTAGTATTAATTGTAATTATTGATCATGAAATGGAACCTTCGAGTAGCAGTCCAGTGATATGTTAAATGAAGACGCATGTTTGTATTATTAATTGCAAACAATCTGCATAGTTTATTAGTGAAGCCAGAGATGAGGTGAAGCCAGAGATACACGTACAGGTCTATAACATATTGGGATAACATGATATTTTTGCGATGGTTTGGACTGTCAGAGCTGCCAACTGTAGAGGCTACTTTGCTGGAACAATATGCACTTTAATTTGGAAACTGTTAGTCAGTAGTATTCATTACCAGACTCCTTTAATAATTAATAATTAGTAAAGCATTGTTGGTCAGTTGTGATTTTACTAAGCATCGTTCGAGTGTTATATGTAATGGCCGTGGAGAGTGACCTGCCTGAGGGAGGCCCACACGTCGCCCTCAGAGACGTCTGCTGCGGGCTGCCAGGCGGACGTGCTGCTCCCTATACAGCTAAGTAGATTTAGATTACACACACAAATCACAATAGCGTGATGTATCAAATGAACAAATCCACAAGGGGCAATTCATTTGATACATTACGCTATTGCGATTTCTGTGTGTAATGAAGTAAGGGCGAAGAGGTAGAACGGCTTATTGACATAGCTCGAGTACTTGTGTAAAGGAGGAAATGTATATGTTTATCTCTCAGAATGTTCGGTAATACGGTTATTGCTTGTGATGTGTGTCTATGTATGTATTAACACGATGGACTGAACGGGGTGAGAATAGCTTGAGCTACCCATCATCCCTTTGTGTATTTTACCTCAATAAACTTATTTCAATAGCTCGAGTGCACGGGAGAGTTGTGTAAAATCCTACTTTGTGTCTCGGAGAGGCTGCAGGATCCAAGTAAATTCAGTAGAATTTCTGTTTGCAATTAAGGCAGTGTCTGGGATGGATGCTCTTGGACGTAGGTTCGAATCCTCATCACGGCCCCATGTGGATTTGTTCAGATTTAGATTATTTTTGTCCGGCCTTTGGTTAGTTCAGATGTCTGTTTAAATGTTAATCACAAGCCGTTTAAGGAGTGGCCCAAGCTCCCGTGTGACTACTGCACTTCTCGAGCCTATAGTTGATATACAGTATTAAATTGAGGTTTCTTAAAAAAAAAATGATATAGATACTGTAATAGGTGTTTCATTTATATTATTTTTGTAGGCTTTTGTTCATTACACTGACGTGTCATTTTTAAGCTGTTTTCCATTTAATTTTCTTGTGGTAAAAGTGGTTATTGGGCCAAGTCAAGAGACACACGAGCATTAAAATTACTTAAGCCATTAACAGTCATCAAATGTAAGAAGAGGAATTGTGCAAATCATCTCCATCCACAAGGTTCGAAAAAATGCAAACGCCGGAAAGTTAAATTGTAACACGACAGGTACAAAAAAACTCGCAAGTGGGGCACAAGGAACTAGAGACCAGGGGCCAGATTCACGAAGCAGTTACACAAGCACTTACGAATCTGTCCATCTTTCCTCAATCTTTGGCGGCTTTGTTTACAATTATTAAACAGTTAACGAGCTCCGAAGCACCAGGAGGCTGTTTATAACAATAACAACAGTTGATTGACAAGTTTTCATGCTTGTAAACTGTTTAATAAATGTAACCAAGGTCGTCAAAGATTGAGGGAAAGATGTTCACGTTTGTAAGTTCTTGCGTAACTGCTTCGTGAATCTGGCCTCGGTGAGAGCGCTGGCCCCACCCTTGGCCCACCTTCCACCCCTACATAATGAAGTCAAATGCAAGTCAGATGCTTCAAGTTTAAGCTGACTGTTTCTTGTGGAATTTTAATACAGGCAGCAACACATGGGAGAACGGGGTTTACAACTACACAGTCCAACATGGAACTACAAGCCCAGAACAATCACTTGATCGTTAGAGTGGAATATAATGTATATAGAATAGAATGTTGTTGTGTTGATTTAGGGGCGACGACGATCATGGGATCGGATGCGGCCACTAGAATAGAATGTATATAGATAGTAGAATTACTATAGAATGCATTACACTTATTATACAATTGCATAGAGTGGAGTAGGATTGCATACCCTTCTGTGGAGACATCTAAATCAGTTAAAACAATCATGAGTTTTGTGAATGACTAGCACAGGTATAGTGGCTTCCTATTATGATTAGTCAAATGCAGGAGGGAAGGGCATTCGTACTATTATGTATTAGCTATAAAACCTACCATTAATGTATGATGACTTACTGTAAATATATAGCTCTTGAAATAGAACATTCTCTGTAACTGACATTGTAACTATAAGGTGTGAAGGATAGATGAAATTGTTTATGTAATAATCTAAGATGAGGTCTGATAAAGACCTTTTGTGCCCTCTGTAATGCTTTTTGCGCTACCGCTCACAGGATGGGTATGAGGTGCACATCAAACTAGCCGCCTCCGGCGGCAACAATCAAAATCAATCGTAGTCACTTAATGGGTTGAGCTTTGACTCTTTAGTTCTGCCTGTTCATCCTAAAACTTCAAGTCGTACCCTGAGAGCTGGTCGCCCTCCTCCCTTTCCAATTAACCTTCGAGTCGTACCTTGAGAGTTGGTCGTCCTCTTCCCCGGATTCGAGCATGAGAGCGTTGTAGTCGTTGGGTCTCTGAAGCATCTGGTCAAGTCTGAGTACCGTCTCCCACAACGAGGACGACCCTCCTGGCGAAGATGACCCACCTGTCGTCTCTGCCGTCTTTTTCAACACCTGCTGGAAATCGAGAAAAGGCGTTCAGCACCTACGCAACACACCCCAACATTAAGAATTTGATTACAGTAGTTTATCTACTTGCCCAGCACGCCTAACTAACGCGACGTGAGATATATATGAAGGGAAATTTATATAGAAAAGGTAAATTGTCGTACTAGAAAATGGTAGCGACTCGCGTAATTGACGTACTGTCTCGTTTTCTGTTTTGGGTCCTCTGGTAGGTTAGGATAAGGGCACTTTAGTACGACAGTTTCTTGTCGTTGGGAAATCTTAGGAGGACGGGCTGGCACTCGTCCCATGAATGGCGGTGGAAAGGTTACAATCACCTGACTAAAACTTTAGGTAGTAGATCATTTCGAATTAAAGACTTATACATTTATTTAGCATTTGTTATAGTTATCCCTTAAATTAATCTGGAAATTAAATCTACAAAAAATCTAAAAAAAAATGTATATAATAAGCCTATAATACACACACAAATCACAATAGCGTGATATATCAAATGAACAAATCCACAAATCCACTTGTGGATTTGTTCAAGCCTAGTGTAACTGGCTGACAGTCGGTCATTCGATACGTTAATAGCTTTCGTTTAGACATGGATTAGGCTTTTGGACATGCATTTGATCTCAAATAACCGGGAGGGAATTATCAGGGGAAAGCGTCAAGCCATTACGACTATATAGCACTCGGAAGGGGTCAGGATAAGGATTTGGGATGGGACGGGGGTAGAATGAATGGTGCCCAACCATTCGGTCGGGGATTGAACGCCGACCTGCATGAAGCGAGACCGTCGCTCAACCGTCCATCCCAAGGGGTTGGTCCTCAAATAACCGGGAAAGGAATCGAAATACACGAGACCAGCTCGATGGTAGCTTACCAGAGGTCAGGACCTATCCGTAGGGTGCAGTCGCACCTCCACAGATCTCCAGTATCGGCTAATGATATTGGTAATGGCTCCAAAGGCCCCCCCCCCTCTTTCTTACCGGCTATTCATGCCCGTGTCACCTTTTGGGTGGCTTAATCTTCATCAATCAATCGTAGCTTGCCAGAGGTCACGACCATTCCGTAGGGTGCAGTCGCACCTCCACAGATCAGTATCAGCTAATGATACTGGTAATGGCTCCAAAGGCCCCCCCCCTCTTACGGGCTATTCATGCCCGTGCCACCTTTTGGGTGGCTTAATCTCCATCAATCAATCATCAGTAGCTTACCGTGTTAGGGAGAGTGGAGTTAGGGCGGGCGGTGGGGAAAGGTTGAACTGGTGAGGAGACCCACACTACCACCAACACCAGCAGTGCTCGCACCTCCATCCTCACCTCTGAAGTAATAGGCTGTGTGTAAGGTGACTTGAGTGGCATATAACACATTCAAGTTCATGTTTATGAGACAATAAAGAAATACATCTCAAAGGGGTAGAGTAGCTTAGGCTATTTCTACCCCCCTATAACACATTAATTTGTTTATAGAGCTGTAATTCCATGCATTACGATATAAGGAAGTATATGGGTACGATGATCTATAGGTAGCCTATTGCTAATATGGCGCAGTACTTAATAATAATAATCCGTTTTATCGGGGACAGGAAGCCTTTTGTATTTTATACATTAGGCTTGTGTCGAAAGTACCCCCTCTCTGAAAGGTCGAACTACTCACCCACCCCAGGTTGCAACTACACAACAGTTGCCAAACTCCCAGATATCTATTTACTACTAAGCGAAGAGGTGAAAGGAAATTTCACATTTCTGTCCTGGGCTCGGAATAGTACCCGGAATCCCTGATTGTGAGTTGAGAACAAAGCCAACTGCGCTAGGATCATCGAGGTACTGAGTCACTCCTTCTCTAGGCCAGCTACTATTCTTCCCCAACATGCAACCCCACAGCAGTTGCTTAACTCCCAGGTACCTATTCTAACCTATGATTACTATGTGAACAGTACTAATACTTTCTTGGATAAGTTTGTGCTCCAGATACGAGTTTACTTGAAGAATATATGTATGCAGCTCTAGTAAAGCGATTATTATGCTTTTGGCGTATATAATCTCTCTCTCTTGAAGAATTACGGGTTATGTTGACCAGACCACACACTAGAAAATGAAGGGACGACGACGTTTCGGTCCGTCCTGGACCATTCTCAAGTCGATTGTGATGAGGACAGGTAGGGACAGGCATTAAATAGGCAAGAGAGAGCTGAGGAGGAAAGTCAGGTGTACGAATTACGGGTTATGTATATGTAAAAGTCAAACGTCTGGGTTTTGAGTTGATAAAGACACTGGTTCGTTCTGGAATGGAAAGTAACGTCTGAGGGCAGTGACACAATATAATCTGGTCTGGCCTGGTAGCAGCAGCCTGACTGACAGTATTAAAAAAAAATAAGTGGTGAGGGACAAAAACTAACTTGACCAGAAAATTCTGCTTGCTCATCGCTCCTCTCGATTTGTGCAACTTGCAAACTTGCAACTCGATTAGGTCTACATTTTAACTTAAAAGTCGGCAGGTTGCTTGCTGCCTGTGGCTATACTGGAGCATTTATACAAGGTAAATACATTACATTATTTACAGTTCCAATAATTTTATGTGATACATTGTAAAGACAACGTTATAACATATATGGGTTTTTAAATGTACGGTATCATGATATAATTAATAATTATTATAATTATTATTATTATTATGAATTATATCATCTCATACCGTACATTTGAAAACCCATATATGTTATAGCTTTGTCTTCCCTCCATTTATACCTATAAGAGAGAATGTCTTTCTCTATGTCTGTCTGTCCAAAGTTAGAAGCCAGCCGCTTTAGGCCCAGTTTCACCCAATTTGCTTGGGAAATAGTCTATGGGTATGGAACGGTCATAGACTGATTGAGGTAGGCCTAGGTTAAATGATTTACGAAATATTAGTTATTATCCACAACCCCAGGTCATTTTCATTGAGTATTTCATTGAAACAGGAAGAGAAAAGAGGAAAAACAAAGTATCTGAGATTCATACATTTGCTTAGTGCTTCTTGAGGAGGGGAGGATGAATAGATAGCTAGAGGGTAAAAAATAGGTTGGTAGATATATAGAGAGAACGGGGAGACAGACAGACAGACCCGGGTAACGCCAGTTTTCCCATCTAGTATACTTAAAATGTTGAATTTCTGTTTTGGTATAAACTGGACGATACATATCAGAGGAATTTTCGATCTGTATGTGTGAGAACTGATCTAGATTTCATCTCCTTAGCTGTCACTCAGAGGCCTTGCCGAGAAGTTTTTTTTTATTGGTCGGAGAGTGACCATTATGTGTTGTGTTGATTTCTACCTGACCTTGACCGCTGACGAGGCTGCCCTTTCACCTAGAGAGAATAGCAGTCAACCTTGTCCAGGCCCCACTTTACTCTCATTTATGACGAATTAACGAATGAAGGCAACAAAAACACGTACAGTAACTGTGGAAAATTACCATTTCGAAACTTTAGTTGTTTATTGACAGCTAATATTATTACTTCTCCCTTTAATGAAATACAAGTTAGATTTAAGATTAAAACTATTTGTCTATTGGAACAGCATACAAAAAGAACAATTATGAGTTATGTAGCAAGAGGACCAACAGCAACCGGGTCATGTTTAGCCCTACAAAACCCGGCCATGTCTTGCCCTAAAACATCCAGCAATGTCTAGTTCTACACCAACTGGCCATGTCTAAGTAGTGTGTGCGTGTCCGTATAAGGGTTGGGTAGTGTGTGCGTGTCTGTGTGAGGGGGTGGGTAGTGTGTACGTGTCTGTGTGAGGGGGTGGGTAGTGTGTGCGTGTCTGTGAGGGGATAGGTATGCGACTCTGGTGATGGGATGGTGGAGACGATAGCTTAGCGATACAGTTCCATCAGTGTAACATGGTGCCGGGCGGGGGATGGATTGCCTTGAGGCTACTGGGAAAATCCCACACACCTCTTGCTCAAGGAAATGTACCTGGTTGACAATATTAATCTCCGGTTAACAGTATTCATCGGTTAACAATATTCATCTTCGGATAACAATATTCATCGGTTGACAATATTCATCTTCGTTTAACAATATTCACCTCTGGTTGACAATATTCACCTCCGGTTGACAATATTTACCTCTGGTTGATACTGTTCACATCTTTTTGACGATATTCACCTCTGGTTGACAATATTCACCTCTGGTTGACAATATTCACCTCTGGTTGACAATATTCACCTCTGGTTGACAATATTCACCTCTGATTGACGATATTCACCTCTGGTTGACAATATTTAGTGTTGGTTGACAATATTCACCTCTGGTTGACGATATTCACCTCTGGTTGACAATATTTAGTGTTGGTTGACAATATTCAATGTTGGTTGACAATGTTTATGCTGGTTGACAATATTCTGCGCCTGACAAAATTCTTCGTGGAATTATGAGTTGCAGCCTAACCAATGGACACGCTGTAGTGACCGACTTTCTCGTTCTATATCCACTTTCTCTATCCTGAACATATGCAGTTAGTTACGACTACTCGACGTCTATCTTAAAGGTTAGATTACTGTTGTTCGTATTACAAAATATTCGTGACTTAAAATTACAGAAACACACGAGAAACAAAGTTGCGTGAGGTCTCATAATATATATTTTGAAAAAACATTATCACATACAGTTAAGCAAGTCCCAGCTCTGTCTGGGTACGAGTGACAGGATGAACAACCCAGCGGGTTTTCTTCCTATTGGGGAGTGTTGTACATGCTGCTATGGTGGTGTGTCCACTCACAAGATGAGTGACGCTGCCCAATAAACTCGCCCCTCGGGGCAAAATTTAAATTTTAAATTATCACTTGACTCCAGAACTTCGTAGCCTGTTCTTAGGATTTGACAACCGTCCAGTTTGGAAACTTTCACAGTTTCATGTTAGTCATTAGGTGGCAAACATTTTATTTATTTATTTATATACAAGAAGGTACATTGGGTTTATAAGAGTGCATAGCATTGGTGTTTTTACATTCTTGTAAAGCCACTAACGCATAGTGTTCCTGACATTAGCATAAAGCATGCAATTTCAAATGCTTTGATTTACATTTGGGTAATTCACCTTGAACGATCGTGTCCGTATCGTATACATATACTCAAGGTATTGTTAGGATGGATTCGTACAAGCTTTCCTAGAAGGCTTTTTAGTAAAACAGTCAGCAGTCTTCTTAAGCCCCTGACCACGCATTAACAATGCTCCACATGACCACAGCTACAAGAACCTTCCCCAGACAAATGTTGGTGAATACTAAAACTTCAAGACAACGCAATAACCCAATTAAACTGGATTGGACATCCTACACATTAGAGAATATAATTATAATTATAGAAACCACCACCTGGAGCGTATATGGTGCAACCTCTTCGCCACTTTCATATGCCTTCACTTAATACTATCATGCTCAACTTCGTTTGATCAGTCTTTGCCTATTGTCAAAAGTTTAAGGCCTTAGGCCAGGTACTGAAATGAGATATGTGACGCCATGGTTTCTCAATAATACGATGAATTGGGTGCATAGGGGAGAACAGTTAGCTAACAATACCTAATCATCCTACCTTGTCCCAATGTACGTAAAAAGTTCCATCGTTGACCAGACCACACACTAGAAGGTGAAGGGACGACGACGTTTCGGTCCGTCCTGGACCATTCTCAAGTCGAACTTGAGAATGGTCCTAACCTAACCTTCCATCGTGCTTGGTTGAAGCTGGTGAGGAGCGCTAGCATCTTTGGGTGTGTTCTATATAAATGTCGGCTATATATATATATATATAGCCTGGTTACGTGCTCACCATAGCCCGTGCTACATGGACATTTCGTTCTGAGTAGCTAAATCTAAAACAACAACATATATTGAAATTGAAATTGAAATAAGTTTATTGATGTAAAATACACAACATATATAGCCAGCATTCTATATAAAACCTTTACGGGCTATTCATGCCCGTGCCAAATCTTGGGTGGCTTAATCTTCATCAATCAATTTATATAAAACCGCCACTTGTAACGGAACACAACCCTTTCTCCTGAATAATACATAGCATTTTGACGTATAATTTACCTAAGGCCAAAAACTGATAATAATAAGAATGGTAGTGGCTCGCGAAATTGACGTGATGTCCCGTTTTCCGTTCGTGGGTCCTAGGGTAGGTTAGGTTCGGGCAATTTAGTTCATCAGTCTAGTGACGTTAGAAACGGAAAATAACAAATAATTATTTTCATTTTCAAGTACAAAAAAAGGATAATAACAAATAATTATTTTCATTTTCAAGTACAAAATTTAATTTACGAATTAACAAGATT